TTCTTCCATGCCAGCCGCGCTCTCCTCTCGCCCCCCAGCTACCGCCCCGCCATTCTTTTACTCGGATCGCTATAATGGAGCCGGGGCTGCCTCTCAAACGATACGTCATTTCCCGATTTCCTCCTGTAATTCTCTCGTCCCGAGACTCCGGGCGTCGTTAGCCTCTCCCCGCTGCCGGGATGCCGCCCGCCTCGAAGAATCCAACCCTCCTGCCGGTCGCCTTTGGGACTCCACGGGAGAGGGAGAGCCATGGCCGGGAAACTCCGCGTAAATTCCGGGCAACCGGTAAAATTTTATGGTCCCGGCTGTTGGGAACACGTTCCTCGTGAGCGACTGCCACGCGGAGATGGTTCGCCGGTTGCGAGGGAGAGGCTGACTGTGCTAAGGGGATTTTTGGATAGAAATTTTCTTTGGAATCGACGATCGGCTTTTCTTGCTTTGGGGATTTGTGCGAGGAGATTTTTATAGTTGCGAGAGGCTTTCGATCGAACGCTCGCGGCTGGTGGATTATGGTTGCTGATGAATATGCAGTTGTTGTAGAGTGTTTCAGATAAATTCCTCAATTTGTATGATAGAATTTCAACGAGCGAAACACAAGTCGGCGCGATTAAATGCCGTTCATTACGTTCCGTATACTTCGTTAAAATTCTTTTACACGCCCCTAGAATGCAAGTTGAATATTCTGTCTAGCTGGAAAGTAACTTCGCAGCTACGGCGCGTAATAAAATTTTTAATGAAATTGAGTTAAGCAAGGCGGGAAAACGCCAGAAGCGAAGAGAACGCGCGACAGGTGATTAGAACGACCGAGCTTCCACCGGTTTAATTTCGCGAAGGAGAGGGTTGCAACCCTATGGGTATTCTATGGGGTGCTGGGCTCTCAAAGTGTTAATAGCCTGAGCGTAAACTCACTGAGAAAAGTGGCCACGCGGCCTTTCGAGATTCGACTCGGTCCTAGAGTGAGTTTACTATCCACGGTTACGACCCTTGGAGTGTTCAAACTTTAGGGTGGCAGTGTTAGAGGATTCGTGACAGCTTAGAGAAACCTAGGCCCAAGGCAAGCCGGTATTTCCGTCATTAAGGTAGTCTTTTCACGATGAGTGTCTTAGGTAATAGTTTGACAAAAGTCCCATAAGCAAACTGCTGATTCGATGCACTTATTGCAGTTTCTATAATCTACGAGTCGGTATAATAAAAGATTTATCAAATGAATGTAATTTTATTCAACGTTGAGAGCTATACTACTAGAAGTACAGTTGGCAAGGGACTGACAAGGGTTGGAAGAGGTCAACAGCTAGTCATCATTGGTTCAGGGTGGGAGCTGAATCCTTGCGGAAGAAATATCTCGACGCGTGCGTCCAATGACTCACCAATTCACCGACGATACTGACAATTATCAATGAGTCATTTCATCCCTGATGAAAGTAGTTATGCCAGCGGAACTTCGGGATATTTCGTCTCAAAGGACGCGGCTTATGCGATGCTGATCCTCGGATCTCGTCGGCTATCCTC